AATATTGATATATCGAACATGGCCTATTTAAGAACATTTGTAAGGATATCTGATGAGTGAATTCAACTCATTTTCTAATAGTAAGAGTACTATTTTCAGGTCGAGGAAGGTTAACCTACGCTGGAAGCAAATGTTTTGAACACAATTTGACGTGCGACATGTAGATAGAGGGTCATACAAGGGTATTCTCCTGATGCGCGATTAGCTGATTTTATTTTCCATAAAACTTGAATTTAGGAAATTACTCTTTGTGAGTTGTGACCTGAAGGTTTTACGTGACCCATGAGGAACCTGAATTATTAACCGATATTCGTGATTTTACCACGCTATTCTACGTGATTTTTAGACGCAAGTCCTCGAATGGTTAGAGTCGTCTATCGCGAGTAACTTAGGTATGCGATTTGCAATATAAAGCCTTGACTTAGCCATTCGCGATTTTACTTTCTTCAAACACTGCTTCTAGTGTAAGAACAGGTCATTAAAAAGAGTACCTTACTTGCTTATTTTCGTGATTTGGGAAAACGAAATTTTTATATCCGTAATCCGTGATCCTCAATTTTTTACCATTCGTGAACCGTGCCAGAGACCCCTCCTGTACGACCCTCTACATACAGTGGTGTATAGGGATGACAAATGGTTAAGTCAGTGACTTGCTGAGATGCCGAGACCCTTGTTTGAAATCTGAGACTTAAAAAGCTTTGTTGGTAATATTTGTGTTCTGTTTAATTAATCTGCTTTGTTTCTTGTAGTATTCTTGCAGAAGATTCTCTTGCTGTTTCATCATTTGAAGCTATTGCATCTTCATTACACCAGCGATTTAACAAAAATGAACATTTCCAAATTGGGAGTGCAATGGTAAAGTTTAAAGTGCATAATATTTTAATTTGCATTAACATATTTGAGTACTTTAAAAAAGCCTGGTCACATTACATTATTGCCTGAAGGACTGGAAAAAGGAGTGTTTCGAGTTGAAAGACCTTTCTCCCTAGAAACATTATTTATAAATGTCCTCCTAATTTTCTCATTTTTGGTATCCTTTGGACTGATGTAGATGGTTCTGTTTGACTTTGGTGCATGTGACAAACTGACATGTTTTTTGTCCATGGAATGAATTTTGTGAAAGTTTAACCTGCAGCTTGCTTGCTACTGTTGTGTATGGCACAAAAATACCATAGTATTTTAAACATATTTTTATATGCATCATATGAAATTCGTGTATTATTTTTGCATGACTTGAGTAGTGTGCACTACAATAGTTATTTGCAGTAAACTTGTACTGTTTAAAGGAAAGAGGAAACAAAGTTGATAAATAAGAAACATTTTGGATCCTTGTACATAAAATTTATGAAAATGACAAGTTATTGTTTTTTTATTTGTTCTTGTCAATTTTCAGCTGATGCTTTTACAGCAACCAGACTTGTTGCCTTCAACCAGCCAAAGGATTGTGGTCTTGTTCTTGTTGTATGAAATGTACAAAGCAGAGCCTGTAGCCAATAACCCATTTGCTTCTGTGTTTGTCCATGTTTTGGTAAGGGATTTGTGCCAGATTCACGATGAACATGTACATGTATGTTCTGAATCAGTATAAGACACATGGAAACTGGAGGTGTATGATGCCATGAATGTAGTCAGCTTAGGGTAAAGATTTGTTCGTCATGGTCAAATTTGCTTGACTGTGTAAACTAAGAGCTGTATTGTGTCTGCTTTATTTTAGAACAGTATTTGGGTGACATTCAATTCTTTCGTATTATGTTTTTGATTTCATGTTAATTCCTAGAGTTCAAACAATGATGAAAACAGAGTATGTGGCCTTGAATCTCTTCCTGCCTTGAGTCAAGCTGAGAAGTCATTCTTGTATCTACTGATCACTTCTCCATCAAGAGATGTAAGTACATAAACATATTGATTCAATGAGGAAACCTGG